TATTGCAGGAAAAAGACAATTTGAAGACTTAGCGATTTCACAGAAAAAAAAATAATTGCTGGCAAAAGTTCAACAAGATGAAAGTTTTTCCTTTGAGAGTTGAAAATTATTGATTGCAGCAAAATTAAATTAATTAAACATGAATCTTCAGTTCTTATGATTCAGCAGTTTATTTTCAACTAAAGAGTTAAATTGCTTCCCTTAAAAATATTTTGCAGAGAAACAATAAAATGGAAAAATGCTTCTTTGTTCTCAACTTTATTTCACAGGAATGTTAAAGAAGCTTAAAATATAAATTCAGCATAGTCTGGGAATTTTCACTATTTTTGTCTGTGTTATTAAATTTGTCATTCTACAGAAAATTAAATTCTTGTCATTGTGAAATCATTATTATGAAATGCACAAAGGTGAGCTTTAGTGTTCGACAGAGTGACACTATAGTAGCCCAAATTAAGTTCTAAGCCTGCCCCATTCCAGTTCAATTCCACCAATGTTTAAAATAAATGTAGGATTAGCTTATGGTAGGAATCGAACTTACATTCTCAGATAAAAGAAGATTACTGATCCCGAGGCCTAACTCCTCAGTCACAGAGGCTTTACCCTAGCTTTAGCAAATTCGTCAACATATATTTTGATAACACAGATCCTCCTTTACTCCAACACAACACCATAAAAGACGTCATCTGTAAATAATCCATAAGTTATGCACAGTTCGGCATAAGTAATGACACAATTAATTTTACACATCTTTCATCAAGACATAAAGCACTAAAGCTTGAATGACTTGTTCGAGAATTTTCAAACACTCGAATGACGTAAAGTAATAAATTTTCTCATGTCAGGAAGTCTTTAAGCGGAACAGTCTCTTCTAATGTCATAAAATAGGACACATTTTGTAAAAAGTCTGACAAATTCATGGCAGAAAATAAGATAAATTTCTGAATATCTTACAGCACAAAAAGGAACGATGTTCACTAAAAAAGTGTTGCCGCAAGCAATCTGTTCCATACTTTTTAAGTTGTATTATAAGTTAAAAGCTCCTACTCATGTCTTTTTCAATATAAATTTCCTTAATAATCCCTAATGACGCGTGCATTAAAAAATCATGACTTTTTGTCTCAATATCCTCATTGGGGGGTTCATGAACAATAAAATGATGCACGAAATTATCTCAATTATTGGATGAGATTTTTGAAAAATTCAAAATAAATATTTGCTGAGCGTATGAAGACTTTAAATGTTGATAAAAGTGCTACTTAATAATTCATTTTCTAAAAGAAAAGAAGCCATGAATTATGAAAAGTCATGCTCGTTGCTTTTTTTGTACTTTATCATCATTTTATTATGTCATGATTCTTTTTTGTTATGAATTAATTGACTGACTTTTAAGAACAATAAAGGAAATGCTTTAAAATAGAATTTCTGCGTCATTTCTTGATGACAGTTTTGAAGCAAAATGTTGCATCTTATTTACTGAACGCACTTTTGATGAAGCAGAATTACTGCTTCATCTTTTGCTGAACGCAAATCGAAATAAAAATTTCGCATCTCTTGAGTGAACGCAATTTTGTGTCAAAAGTTTTGCATCTTATTTACTGAACGCACTTTTGATGCAGAATAGCTGCTTCATCTTTTGCTGAACGCAGTTTTGAAGCAAAATCTTTGCATCTTATTTACTGAACGCATTTTTGATGCGGAATTGCTCATTCATTTTTTTACTGAACGCAGTTTTGAAGCAAAATCTTTGCATCTTATTTACTGAACGCATTTTTGAAGCAAAAGCTTTGTATTTTATTTACTGAACGCATTTTTGATGAAAAAATGCTGATTCATTTTTTTAAGCAACGCAGTTTGAATCAAAAATTTCGCATCTTTTATTGAACGCAATTTTGAAGCAAAAGCCTTAAATTAAATCTAGTTCATTTTACACAAAATAATCTGCATCATAAAAATCTTAATTTAATTGTTTAAACAATAAATTACATCAAACAATGTATGCATGACTGCATTTACCAAGCTACCATTTCCATTTCCCTGACGTCAAAAACTAGTCCAACATCCCATACAAATTGTGTATGAAATTAATTATCTCTACATGAATAAGTTCACTGAGAAAACTATCCAATTTTCCACACATGATTTGTTACTGTTGTTGACTACAAAGCTAAGCTAAGTAGCTTTAAAAATTATAAATTAATACTTCAGTAATTGATAAGCAGTGCAATAAATCGTATCGATGACTCTTAACATTCATATCAAATGCACTCAAATAAATAATCTTTGTTCACTGAAGTAGATTTAGTGCCGTTTAATAGCAACTGAAGTGGAATCAGATTGTAATTGAACTTAATTTTCTAATTTTACAGGAAAAAAAAAGACAATGAACAACGAAGGATTTATTTAATGAACTTACAAGAAGTAGCTCTCAAATTAACTTTTCCAACAATCTACAATGCTTACATTTCAACAATTTATCTTTCATCTTCGTGCGGTCATATATCTCGATGCGGTATCATTAATAGCAAACTGTACATTGCACATCCTTCCTTTCCATCTTCATTTCTATCTGATGTTTTAAGCTCCTTACTTCATTCCATTCAACGTCCCGTAAAATGCAATAAAGCAATAAAATTTTAAAAATGAAATAAGCTTAAAAAATTTATGCTTAACATTGACTGCTGTATTGTATAAAGGTGGAAAACTACTTGATGGGGAACTTTTCCAAGTGAAATCACCACACTGAAAATGAAAAGTTTCTTATCTAAAACTTTTCTTATTACGTAATGTTCCCCTTGAGAGTCGTTCACTCATGACTTCCGAAATTAACGGTCATTTTTCAAAAGAGAACAATGGATTTCCAGGAATTTCTATGGTTCTTATCTAGCTGACCCCCCCCCCCCCCCTCCTTGGACGTAATAAGTGAACGTCCCCTTGACTGATTGTATGAAACTGTAGCATCAAGTTGTGATTTATCATCTTGTAAATGCATTTTAATTTTCTCAAATGACGTTAATTCGACTCGACTGCATAAATGCCTTACTGTCATATTTTACTGTACTTTGAATTAAATTTAAGAAACAAGATGCTTTCTTTTGTTATGATTTTGATGCGCAGTTTTAGGAATTGTAAGTAAATGTTACGAGTTTATACGTCATGAATAACAAGAGAAGCATAATTTGGCATTAATTCCTTTTGTAAGGTTACTTTTTGTTATTTTAAATGAATGAATCTTTAGAGAAGCTTTTCCTTCATAAGTTGACGTCTGCTTAACGTTGTTTATTTACATTCAATAAAAGAAACATGGAAATGATTATTCGAAGCTGTCATATTCTTTTTAACTCATTTCATCCGTAGAACTTTGTCAATTTACTAACTCAATCTGTTAGATATTCAACTAGCTTCACTGTTAATAAGGGAATTGTTTCATAATATCACGAGGCAAGCCGTTCTGTGCTCCTTTTGAATATCTGAAATGGATAATTTTAATTTATGTAATAAATCGGCACTGGCCTACATTCTATAAAGATTAATTCTTTAATTAAATTTGGATTAAAACTTATCATGTGAAGTGGGAATTGGGAATATAAAGAGCTCACAGATTATCTTGAAAAGAGTTATGATACTGACCAAACTTTGATAAGTTTTGTAATAAAATTTTCATACATTGTGGATCTTGTATGTATTGTATGTACTGTATGCTGTAGTGAGCTTTATTGAGCTTTTGGTGCATTATGATTGAATTTTAAAATTTTAAAATGGAAACAAGCGGCTAAAGTTTCTGATTTAACCATGCTGGGGCTGGTAGCTTAGTAATTTTTGATCAAGAACTCAGGCTCGTAGCTCAATGTTAAAGTCCATAAGTGCCTCAATTTGAGTTTAAATACTTTAAAAATTCAAGCAAGTCAAAGTTTGACTGACTCTCAAAGCCATGAGACTTTAAAAGCTTTAAAAACAGCACCAGGATAGACGTCATGCCATGCTCAATAAGAATTTGTAAGACACTGGATTCCCAAGCGTTATTGGTTCAATATACTTTAAGGTAAGGTTAACAACTCCATCTTCAAGGTCTAATCTCCAAGATTCATGCCTCGCACTTAAAATAGCACTAAAATCCCGTTCAGTTTATTATTCCACCCCTTCTCTCTGCAATAATAGTAAAAGTTATATCTACAGATGTAATAAAACACCTACAATAATAATAAGTAAGAATAAGAAAAACTTTAAAAGATGTACTAAGGAAGGAAGTGAAATTAATAGGTTCTGCAATGTAACACTTTTTATCATTGAGAACATTTTTATATTCTTCACGTAACGCAAACAATAAAATAAACTTAAAATACATTCATTTTGATTTCTCTTTACATCTTTTCTATTTAGCCTTTAAATCAATATAAATGAGCGTTAAATAAAAATAAAATTTATGCATTGCGATTTTTCTACTCCGCCTTTTGTCGATATTTTATTTTTAAAAGATTGATTCGTTGGAATGTTATCAAGATGTCAGCTTGGCATGTAATAAATACACATATATATTGACTTGTAGAAATTGATGACTATCGTCAGTGACGTCTTAAGGATATGTTGGATTTTCACTTTATCGAATGGAAATTCCTTCAATATCATGTGAAATAATGGCATTGTCATCAATGTGAGAATGTGTTTAAGATACGATATAATATGATGTGAATGTGATTGCATGTAGCGTGTATAAGTCGTGAAAAGATTTTATACAATAAACGGCTTTAAGCTGTCTCATGTGATTGTTTATCGTGTCACATTAAATTTTCTGGCAAGGTGTGTGCACTTTTCAGGTTTTGATCTTATTCAACTAATTTATATTTGCAAGATTAACTATAAATTCAAGAAATTTCAATAAAATTTTTAAAAAGTTTTCAAAATCCTTTTAAAAAAAGTGCCCACACCTTGAAAATTTTACAGCATTTTTTTAACAACTTTATCTTTTCAATTATCTTATCAAATCTCATTTCACGCACTTACAGGTACATGGCTATAATGAATCCTTTAAAACCTAGAATGGGGAAGAAGTTAACACTTTGTATAGCTGTGCTTATATGGGCAAGTATACTAAACTTAACAAACTTATATTTTCATGTGCTTAAAGCTATTTTTTCTTGACAGATCATCGGTATAATTTCATCATGTCCAAATTTCTTCTTTTTTACAACATTTGATATACCAATGGAGGATAGAGTCGTGTGTTATGCAGAATGGCCGGATGCAGATCGAGAAACAAATCATAGCATACAAGAATATGTGTAAGGGAATTACTGTGTGATGAATTTGTGGCTTAAATGGGAGTAGCTGTTGTGATGAGGATGAAAATAATTGAAAAAGACATGACAAAATTCTAGAATTCTGAGCTTTTTGATAACTTTTCAAGTACTCTCCCTAGTAACCAAAATGTTCCATATAATCTTCCTTCGACGTCGATGGAAGATCAAATGTATCATTATTTATTATATGGAAAATATTTGTTTTACAAATATGTAACAGAAGTGTTCCATCGAAGTATTACCCGAGCCTGCTTAGGATCAAATCCTATGAAATATCATCAAAAAAATATTTTTTTGCAGGAAAATAATATTTGTTCTAAATTTGGCATTTGCCATATACTTCACAATTGCTCGAAGAAATCACTATTATAAGTTCTCTCTAAATTTGTATGGGGCTTTCAAATAATTATTTATCTTCCTCAGGTTTGTTTGAGGTTTGTATGCGAGTCTTGGACATTCATCAGTATGCGACTTAATTAAATTAAGTCCTTTTGTTCTTTTTCGTAGTGTTAGTGTACTTTAATTAAGTACACACTAATACTTTTACAAAAAATTACACAAATAAATGAAAAATACAAAAGAACACGTGGATTTTAACACGTGGATTTTAACACGTGTTTTTATCCAAAAAAAAAAACTTTTTAAAAAACTACGTTTTTCGCGTAGACTAAAAAGTAGAAAATAACTTTTATTCTTGGTTGTAAAGAATTTGGTTTTAAATTTTCAGATTATATTTAATAAATTTTTATATCCTAGTCAATATTGTTCACAAAGTTTCGAATAAGTGCACTTTGATCTTATCGTATAACTCAACAACTTAAAAACGTGGGCGCATTAATTTAAGTTTATCATAAAGTATTGATTTCACATAAACTTATTTCTCCTCTTATAATGCGCCCACGTTTTTAAGTTGTTGAGTTATACGATAAGATCAAAGTGCACTTATTCGAAACTTTGTGAACAATATTGACTAGGATATAAAAATTTATTAAATATAATCTGAAAATTTAAAACCAAATTCTTTACAACCAAGAATAAAAGTTATTTTCTACTTTTTAGTCTACGCGAAAAACGTAGTTTTTTAAAAAGTTTTTTTTTATAAAGTATTTTATTTTCTACTTTTTAGTCTTATTCTAATGAAATAGAGAAATAAAGATTATAGGGGGTTTATAGGTTACAGGTGTGTTGAACTCCACTTCGTTGCACTTCGTTACGTTCAACTGTTTATAGATTAGAGTAGGTTTATAGGTTACAGGTGTGTTGAACTTCACTTCGTTGCACTTCGTTACGTTCAACTGTTTATAGATCACAGGAGGTTTATAGGTTACAGGTGTGTTGAACTTCACTTCGTTGCACTTCGTTACGTTCAACTGTTTATAGATTTCAGTAGGTTTATAGGTTACAGGTGTGTTGAACTTCACTTCGTTGCACTTCGTTACGTTCAACTGTTTATAGATCACAGTAGGTTTATAGGTTACAGGTGTGTTGAACTTCACTTCGTTGCACTTCGTTACGTTCAACTGTTTATAGATTACATTAGGTTTATAGGTTACAGGTGTGTTGAACTTCACTTCGCTGCACTTCGTTACGTTCAACTGTTTATAGATTACAGTAGGTTTATAGGTTACAGGTGTGTTGAACTTCACTTCGTTGCACTTCGTTACGTTCAACTGTTTATAGATTACAGTAGGTTTATAGGTTACAGGTGTGTTGAACTTCACTTCGTTGCACTTCGTTACGTTCAACTGTTTATAGATTACAGTAGGTTCATAGGTTACAGGTGTGTTGAACTCCACTTCGTTGCACTTCGTTACGTTCAACTGTTTATAGATTAGAGTAGGTTTATAGGTTACAGGTGTGTTGAACTTCACTTCGTTGCACTTCGTTACGTTCAACTGTTTATAGATCACAGTAGGTTTATAGGTTACAGGTGTGTTGAACTTCACTTCGTTGCACTTCGTTACGTTCAACTGTTTATAGATTACATTAGGTTTATAGGTTACAGGTGTGTTGAACTTCACTTCGCTGCACTTCGTTACGTTCAACTGTTTATAGATTACAGTAGGTTTATAGGTTACAGGTGTGTTGAACTTCACTTCGTTGCACTTCGTTACGTTCAACTGTTTATAGATTACAGTAGGTTTATAGGTTACAGGTGCGTTGAACTTCACTTCGTTGCACTTCGTTACGTTCAACTGTTTATAGATTACAGTAGGTTCATAGGTTACAGGTGTGTTGAACTCCACTTCGTTGCACTTCGTTACGTTCAACTGTTTATAGATTAGAGTAGGTTTATAGGTTACAGGTGTGTTGAACTTCACTTCGTTGCACTTCGTTACGTTCAACTGTTTATAGATCACAGTAGGTTTATAGGTTACAGGTGTGTTGAACTTCACTTCGTTGCACTTCGTTACGTTCAACTGTTTATAGATTACAGTAGGTTTATAGGTTACAGGTGTGTTGAACTTCACTTCGCTGCACTTCGTTACGTTCAACTGTTTATAGATTACAGTAGGTTTATAGGTTACAGGTGTGTTGAACTTCACTTCGTTGCACTTCGTTACGTTCAACTGTTTATAGATTACAGTAGGTTTATAGGTTACAGGTGTGTTGAACTTCACTTCGTTGCGTTCAACTGTTTATAAATTACCAGTTTTCAATGGGAAATTAGTAACGACTTTCAAAATTTTTCATTCGTTTTATAAAATTTAATTTTTTTAAAGCATTCATTAGTAAAGTACATTAAAAATCACTCGTAAAGATTTTGTGTTTATCCGAACCATTCCTACTACATAACGTGTGGATTCTTAACATAAAGATGCAAATCAAATATATATGTAACGTATTTATAACGGATTTTCAAATTTAAATTCAATGAATATCATTTATATGTTATGCAAAAATACGTCAAACCGTTAATAAAAAGAAAAGTCAATTTAATTAAGTTGGTGAAGTGTTATAAATAATGCAATACATTTAAAACAGCATAAATTTATGCTCAAACTATGTGTGCTAAATGCACATCGCATATTAATAGTTATTTTGCATTAATTCGTAACGGACTTGTGCTTAACGGTTTTTTTGAAAATTCAAATTTTCACTTACGAGTATTCATGAAAAAATTACATGTCAATTTTTTTGTCTTACCAGAATATCTTTAGCTGCTCAAATTTATGGTATAATTAATAATTAGTAATATTAATTAAACTATAATGAATCATATAAATGACTTTAGAGCATCACAAGTATAATATTTAATACAAATCAAAATTTTATATCATTGACATTGGATTTTTTCCCATATAAAAAAGTTTTACATAAATTGTACTATAATTAAGCATTTTTGTGTTTCCAAAGTGTTAAAATATTGTATTGTCACCGGGAATACATGTGCATTAAAAATTTGAGCTCGATTGGAGCAGTAGAAGTGGTCGAAAAATTGATCGCAAGATTTGAAATTTTTTGCAAACAAACAAACAAACAAACAAACAAACAAACAAACAAACAAACAAACAAACAAACAAACAAACAAACAAGAAAGCAAGTTAAGAAAAACGTAGTAAAAAGTAATCCATTTGTTTTCCATTTGTATTCCTTTGATGTATTACATTGATGTCTTATTGCATTGTCCATTTATCTTCCATTTTCATAGGACATCATCTTCCGATGGATAATACATGGATAATACATATGTATCATCCATGGAAGATTCTCATGGAATACATTGATCTACCTTTTGGTTACTAGGGCTATAGAACTGCCTGGATTCAATAGCAATATAGACAATTCTGTCAGTTTTGAGGGTTTATGACCTTCTTGATGCCTACAAAGTTCAATATTGAGTCAGTCACATGCAAATCATGTAAAAATCTAAAAAAAATTCTTTCAGTTTCTTAAAGCCTTGAAAAGCTCAGAAATCAAGTTCAATATTTTCTTTTTTTTTCAAATCCATTTCCCATGGAACTTAAGAGAAAAATGACTCAACACAAAATGTTTTCACATCCAATTTAACATGCTATTTTCTATTATTCCACATCAAAATAAGATATGCTACTCCCACCCCCAAAAAAATTGTTATTTATGAAAGATAAAATCCGTTCCTCGAAAAACAGATTTTGTCTCTTCAGCCCTTTTTTGCTTTGGCTTTACAGAAAATGAAAAAAATATCCATAAGCGAATCGGTTCGGGGAATTGAAATCCTTCCGACTTATAGTCTAGAACTCTGTTATTAATATATTCCACATATTCTTTTTTTCGCATACTCAGAATTATTCTTAAAATATAAATATAATAATAGTCTAATTCATGTTAGATGATGCGAGAAGAAACTGCTCACGCGACTAGGAGAGAATGAATGAAAATTATGTCGAATAATTTAGGGGTCGGTTGAAAATGACGTCAGTTAAAGTTAGAATTTTTTTAAAATCTCATCATTCTCTACTGTCACAAAGCTTTCATATAGCGTACGTCAAAATTAAAAGTGCCAAGCAGCTCCTCATATGTGGATCCTCCTTACTGAGTACTCTTACCCACAAGAATAAAGTTTAAATCAGGTTCAGCCCCTCGCATAAATTGAAAACTTTAAAAATAAATCTGGACCCCAGGTCTCCTCTCCATTCCGAGAGATCCCATAATAACGCCCATAACCAGCCTTCCTATTACACATCATAAATTAAACGACCCCCCGATGTAAATAAACTTTCCTCATGCTTCCAAAAAAAAACATTTTCTCAGCTCGTGGAAGTCATTAAATAAAGTCATTCTAACTGATGCTACAGAACAGAGCGTATTGTGAATGTTTTATTTACTATCAACACATAATTTTGCAGGAATTTACAAACACAGTAAATTTCAAAGCTAGCTTATTCTGCTAGTGCTGAATGATATAGTTTGAGTAGTGCTGAAATATTCAATTACGGAAGTTTTTCATATGTCGTGTTGAATTAAAAAGTTTCTCTTTTTTTCGACGAAAGGAAGCAATTTAAATGCCTAATATTGTTATGGAGTGGATATCCTTCAAAATTGTTTCAAGGAAGCGCATTCTTTATTTTATATAGCCTATATGAACTTCCTGTGCTGGAAGGAAACAGAAGGAAATTTATGCACGAGTCTATTCTTTCAAAGATATTAAAATACTTTTTATTAAAATTGATTTTCTTGCGGGGGTCGTTTGGATGTTACGTCACGCTGCAAATTAACATTGTAGACCTCAGCTTCTCCTGTTTGCCAGGGTAGAAGCTGTAAAATTTGTTTAAATCATAAAAATAAGTCAAACTACGTTATTACCTGATGTGGATGTCACATAACCTATCAATCGATCCCCCCTCAACACGTTTCGCTTATGGACGGCATCATTATTGATGTTGATTGTTAAAGATTCCATTTTCCATCGTAATATTTTCATAAATTTTTATATTTATTGTTCTTTTCTTTTCTTTTATTTATTTTCTAGATATAATGTAGTTTTTATGATTCTTACGTATTTTGTACCAATTGGATCGATGACGTACACATATACACGTGTCGGTCTTGAGCTTTGGGGATCACAAAGTATTGGAGAGTGTACACAAAGACAATTAGATAATATTAAGAGTAAACGAAAGGTAATTTTGCTGTTATTTAGTTTTTGGAAGTTTGTAGGGAATGTGTTTCAAAAATCTTGGAAAATTGGGCACCAAGGATGCATTAGACGCACATGTAGTAGCTTAATGCATTTTACTAGGTGTCTAACTTTAATCTAGCACCGATCTTGCCTTTAACTAGTCTAATATACTAGCAAAAAAAAAGGTTTGAAGCTAAGGACGACTGTTCCAATATCTAGAATCAATCTGGTACTCTTTAGGTACCTGAAGCTCTAGATTTTATCGACCAAAACCATTTTTCTGTCAGATTTTTGAAATACTTTCCACCACCATGTGATCCACATTTGACCTTTATTTCATTTCCCACTTTTACCATCATTTGTCCATCGCCACACATTCTTTTTTGTTTCCCACACGACAATTTAATTTTCGTAATTCCACCCTTGAATTGGAAAGTAACACATTCAAATGTCTGCATCGTCTACTGTATTAAATTGCGTGCTTAGATTTATAATAGTATTAAAATTAATATTAGCCTTTTTTACACGGCTAAACCTCTTTAAACAAGCAAACTGTCAGAATCAATGTTGCAGGAAATAAAATTTAAAGTCACGCAACATTTGCTTAGTCAGCACATATGCTGACTTTTCAAGCAGACTAAAGGAAAGTGGCTTGTTTTTTATATTATTTTGATTCTGTTTTCCAAATTGAGTTAGCAGATTTTTTGAATTGAGTGGAAAAATCAAGGAAATGATGAGAAAAATTGATAAAAGCTTATGGAAATATTTTCAGGGGAAATTTGTCTGAGATTGAATTTATTTTATATTCTTGCACCTTTTGCTTGTTTAGTTTTATGGTTTTGTGGCAGACTGAAATTTAGGTATCAAGTTCATGTGAAGCTAATTTACTGGTGTAAAACTAAGGCCTCTGCAACCAAGTGGATCAGATCATAACTTGGAGTGTGTCCGATTCCCATCAGAAGCTTATGTCACAATCAATTCGGAATTGGCACACTGAGTTAGAGTTTTATTAAAGCCGGTCCTACCTCAGCCTCAAACCTTCCACAGCTGTTAAATATTTAAGACTGTTGCCAATAAGACAAAGATTCGTGCAATGCTCATGACAATGAAGATTCAACATCCGGAAATGAAACCAGCATTTAGTCTCATTCCTGCTTATGACTTATTTATTCTACCAACATGCTCCGTTGGAAGTTTCTGAATAATTTTGCCACCATTTTCTACATGAATTGCATTCAAGTTACTTCATTGGCATAAATATAAACGTTTATCCACAAAATCAACAGGAATGCATCAATATCATCCCATATTTCCTAATAGAAATCCCCCCAACCTTCTTCCCCATAAATATTACTCCAGATTTTCCTTGTCAAACATGAACAAGCAAAAAATCCAATGAATTATTCATCAAGATTGCTGCTTATCACCAGAAACTTTATCAATATTATTTTCTATACGCACAAGTACGTCACGATTGTTCAATTCTCCAATAAGCCAAGACATTTTTAATTAAAAAAATTCCAGAAAAGATTTTCATTTATCTCATGCTCGATTTTGAAATTTCTTCACGTTTATTATGTTCTGCATTGCTATTTTGCAATGATGGAAAAATTCTTGATTGATTTTTAAATTTTTAACTTCATCCATTTTCATCAAATGAGCCCTCCGAGGCATAAGTTTTATTGCAATCAATAATTTTTTATGGTCGTTAGGATTTTTTTTCAAAACTTTGTAATGGAAATGGAAGTTGGATAGAATAACTATAAAGTTTAAAATTGAGAAAATCTACAAAATGAACTTTATTATTTGGGATTTTTTTTTGGTTTCTTCAATTTTTTTAAACCAAATTGAAATTCATCAAAATTTCAAAATTTAGACTAAGTACTCGAAAAGTGCTAGTTGAATAAATTTACAAAAACCTCCTAATGAGCTCAAAATATCAAATTAGCATTATTTGGAAACATTCAAAGTTTCTTCAGTACTTAAAGTAGCTATAACTTGTCTAATTTGATCTATTAAGGGAAATCCTGCAATAACTATGAGAAAAAACAAACTTTCAAGTGGTTTTCACTCAAGTTTTTAATCTGCAAACAGAAAATTCTCTTTTGTGGCTTTTATAAATGAATTCTTGTTTAGCCGAGATATTTAAATTTATCTCATAATCCTAATGTAAAATTCAGGAAACAAATGAAGAGCTTTTAACAATAGAAATGAGGATACTTTGTCTATTCACATAAATGCACAACATAGGAAAATTAAAAGTGAAGACTAAATGAAAAATTCTTGAGTGGAATTTATCAACAATAAATATGTTTCATAGCATTCTTGTATTCCTGTTCACATTTACCATTTTTTTCTTCTTTTCTCTTTTGAGTACGAACCAACACCAAACATGAATACTAAATGTGAAAATGTAATAGAATAAATTACCGTATCATCTTCTCACATTTTCTTTCTCATTTCTCTTTACTTTCTTTTTGTGGCGTTTATTCATAAATGATGTGCGTTAAAAAATGAATTTCTTTAGTGTTAAATCTCTGATCTAATCAAATCCTCAGAGATTACCATAGTTTATATTTGATTTATTACTACTCTAATCGTATAATAGCTCTATCCAAACCCAAACCATTACCGGATCTTTTTGTTAACTTAGATCTTCAATATCTCAACCAGGGGCGTAGCCAGGGGGGGCCATAGGGGGCCCGGGCCCCACCTCCGAAAATCTGATGATTGTTTTATTAAGTATTTATAGAGAAGAACCAGTTAATGTAGAGGAAGTGATGAAAGAAATGTCAAAATCAGCACGAAAAATTAAATTTAATGTATGAATAATGAATTAAATATTTAAACTTATGAAGAATGAATATAGATTTAAGGATACAAAATAACGAGTTTTTAATTTTCGAAAATGGGCCCCTCCATTAAAATTTTTCTGGCCACGCCCCTGATCTCAACCTTAACCCAACCCTAACCCATCCCTAAACCAACCCTAAGCCAATCCTTACCCAACCGTAACACAACACTAATCCAACCCTAATCCATCCCTAAACCAACCCTAACCCAATCCTTACCCAACCGTAACACAACACTAATCCAACCCTAATCCATCCCTAAACCAACCCTAACCCAATCCTTACCCAACCGTAACACAACACTAATCCAACCCTAACTCAACCCTAACCCAACCCTAACCCAACCCTAATCCAACCTTAACCCAACCCTAACCCAACCCTAACCCAACCCTAACCCAACCCTAACCCAACCCTAACCCAACCCTAACCCAACCCTAACCCAACCCTAACCCAACCCTTACCCAACCCTGATCCACCCCTGATTCAACTCTAACCGAACCTAAACCCAACCCTAACCTAACCTACCCCAATTGAAACCCAACCCTCACCCAACCTTAATCAAGCCTTAACCTAATAATAATAATAATGTGTGAAGGGCCCAGCCTTTCAGCTGGAGGCACTGCGATTCAAGCCTTAACCTAAAATCACATAAAATTTCATCAGAATCAACCCCATCATTTTACATTAAAATTTATTTCAATATCCAATATCAATCAATTTACATATTTACTCGGTAGGTTGTTCTTATGATGATCATGGTCGTTCTGATATTTGCCGTTTGTTGGCTACCACAAAATGTTTATTTTATCATCACATCTTACTATCCATCGGTAACAACATACCCATATATTCAGGAAATTTATCTGGGCATTTATTGGCTTGCGATGAGCAATTCAATGTACAATCCAATTATATACTGCATATACTCAGATAGGTAAGTGTCTTATTCTATATTTATATATTTATTCAATTTGTATATTTTCCCCCCTGTGGTTGTTCGATGTTTTTGACTTTAGAAAATTTGTCTATACTGCGGTTTTGATTCATATATATTGCATTTTGATTCTATGCCTTTTGGGGATGATTTTGTGGATTTTCATTTTATTCAATCGAATAACAGAAAAATAACATTTTAAGATGTGGTTGTGGCAATTTTTAATATCAACAAGTGGTGATATAAAAATAGATTAGATACCGTACTTGCGAATGTATCGTTCTTTTAAAGTATGTAGCATAAATTAAAGGTTGATAGCAAACAAGGCAAGTGCTAGATAAGAATGAAATGTTGTTATGGAGCTTGCTTAAAGGAAATAAAGAAAGAAGAAGGACATGAATGAAAATATATGTTCAGACTTTTTGAGACAGAATGAATGAGGTGGTGTTATTTGGGGATACTGTCTGGGGATGTCGAATGAGAAATTGTTAAAAAGACTTTTGAGGACTTAACTGATGTTTTTGTAGAATCTTTAGCTTTCGTCAAGGGAGGAGGCAAACCTTCATGGGATTTTGGGCTATTCTGTGTCCTTTCTCGAGATATTTCATCCTTTAGAACTTTATTGATTTATCTTTATCATGCTAAGGACATTTCAGGGTCGATAAGGGTTTTTTCGACGTGTCCGTAGCATGATCTATATCAGTGTTGTCCAAGATATTAGGGATAAGCCATGCACGAAGTCACACACAGTGTCATCTTTAAAAAAATTTTATTGTACCGCGGCACAGAGTTTGACCAGCACTGATTCTATATAGTATAAACTATAATATTTGCACATCATTTTCAAATGATACCTTTCCTATAAGCTGTTAATTCAAAACATTTACAGCTTTTAAACACAATTCCATATCAACTTAATGACCATGAATTTCTCACAAAATTAATTTCATGATTGAATTAAAAGCTACATTAATCACATGTCACTCTTAATTTTAACAAAATAAACAAATTACATAGCTTGTGAAAAATAAAGCAAAAATAATTTATATGAAAAAAATTATCCGAGACCAAGCAAGTTAAAAGTAACAAAAAAATTAAATTGTGTGATTAAATTTTCAATTAATTTAAAAGTTTTTTAAATGGTTTAGTATAGAAATCAAGTAAAAGTTTGATATAAAGTTTTACATTAGGATTATTCGAAAAGATCAGGTTTAACCACATGTAATTAAATTTATTATGCATGGGTCATTTGAGTAGCCAGGAAGACAAACACTTATTGTGGAAATAATTTGATCTTCCTCAAAAAGTATGTTTCTTAAAATATGGTGATCTATCCCTTCCAAAAAACTATGGATATTGATTTGAGTTCAGTAAGCTGAGAGTGACTTAATTCTTGCCCCCTTAGTACCGCTCTTTTTATCAACATATAAATTATTAGCTGTAGAACAAGTAATCAACAGACTCTACACAACAATTGGTGCATTATTGCACTTTTCATTAGTTTTCAAGGATTATATATTGTTGAGAATAAAGTTTTTGTTTAAAATTTTGCTCATCTTCATCCTCTCCTTTCACTCCTCGTTAACATGCATTTTCTCACAACAATATGTTTGTACATTTTTATTATTCTTTGTCTAAGTGTGGTAATCAAAAATCATATTCATACATTTATGGATCTAATCAGGAGGTCCTTATAAAAATTTAAAGTGCTAAAGTTGGTTAATTGAAATGATTGGACGATTATACAACTCCAGATTCAACTAGCCAAGATCACAAAACCTTCAACTGCTAACCCCTTGCTACGCGACTGACACTCTTTATCGAAAAGTTTTCTACATACGTCCTCTACACATCTTCATTGTCATGATGATATTTTTGTTATTCATGCTTATAATCCTCACTCATGCAACCCATTATTCATACTCTTTCAAGTGCTGTGTTAAAAATATGAAAAAATAAATAAAAATATTTTTCCAAAAATTTAAGAAGAGTTTTTTCCACATGTAATGCGCTATTAGCTTTTGTTCCTACGTGCTACGTTTTGCACTTTGGATTATGATTTGTTTGGAAAAATATTTGTGGAAACTTTAGGCCGTAAGGGTATTTATGATGAAAATCTATAATATAAACACCCTCCCTGACTTTAGAACGGAAGCCGTGTGAAGCCATTTGTGAAGTCGTGTGAAGCGTAATTTGGTAGGTGGGTGTCAGGTGTAGAGTAAGGTGGGTCCGAGTTTGAGGGGGGTTGTGAAGTCATGTGAAGTTTTGTGGTAGGGTTGACCTTAAAAACATTATGGTTATTTGTGTCTTACAGTTATTTACATAATAGTAATCAAATTTAAACCCTGATAATGGGTGCCACGGGCGCCCTCGAATAGCTTAATTAATATACATTGCTTTCAGTTTCTATAAAGTATAAGTATGCAATGCCATCAATATTTAAATCATTTGTTTAACTTCATGAAATCAATATCTATCAAAAAAACATATCATTAGTATCCAAAAGTAGAATTAAACAATAATTTCATTATACCTTTACCTTAATTAATTATCCATTAAAACAGAGTTGAAAATAGTTTGTCTCTAATAATCTTTGGACAGCTATCTATCAGCATGAGTATCCAACTCTGCATAAAAATATCAATATTCTTTTAATATATAATAAAGGTCACAACTATGCCTATGAGACGCTAATGATTTCATGATAATATTTAATTCATTTTGCTAAGGTTCGATATGCTGATTATATGTTTGATTTGTTCATTCGATCGGCTACTTAATTAAATTATTTACCACACTAAAAGTGATATTGAATGTGTTTATGACTAATTACTACGTTTTTCTTAACTTGCTTTCTTGTTTGTTTGTTTGTTTGTTTGTTTGTTTGCAAAAAATTTCAAATCTTGCGATCAATTTTTCGACCACTTCTACTGCTCCAATCGAGCTCATTTTTTTTACTCACACGTATTCCCGGTGACAATACAATATTTTAACACTTTGGAAACACAAAAATGCTTAATTATAGTACAATTTATGTAAAACTTTTTTATATGGGAAAAAATCCAATGTCAATGATATAAAATTTTGATTTGTATTAAATATTATACTTGTGATGCTCTAAAGTCATTTATATGATTCATTATAGTTTAATTAATATTATTAATTATTAATTATACCATAAATTTGAGCAGCTAAAGATATTCTGGTAAGACAAAAAAATTGACATGTAATTTTTTCATGAATATTCGTAAGTGAAAATTTGAATTTTCAAAAAAACCGTTAAGCACAAGTCCGTTACGAATTATACAAAATAACTATTAATATGCGATGTGCATTTAGCACACATAGTTTGAGCATAAATTTATGCTGTTTTAAATGTATTGCATTATTTATAACACTTCACTAACTTAATTAAATTGACTTTTCTTTTTATTAACGGTTTGACGTATTTTTGCATAACATATAAATGATATTCATTGAATTTAAATTTGAAAATCCGTTATAAATACGTTACATATGTGATTTGCATCTTTATGTTAAGAATCCACACGTTATGAAGTAGAAATGGTACAGATAAACACAAAATCTTTACGAGTGATTTTTAATGTACTTTACTAATGAATGCTTTAAAAAAATTAAATTTTATAAAACGAATGAAAAATTTTGAAAGTCGTTACTAATTTCCCATTGAAAACTGGTAATTTATAAACAGTTGAACGCAACGAAGTGAAGTTCAACACACCTGTAACCTATAAACCTACTGTAATCTATAAACAGTTGAACGTAACGAAGTGCAACGAAGTGAAGTTCAACACACCTGTAACCTATAAACCTACTGTAATCTATAAACAGTTGAACGTAACGAAGTGCAGCGAAGTGAAGTTCAACACACCTGTAACCTATAAACCTAATGTAATCTATAAACAGTTGAACGTAACGAAGTGCAACGAAGTGAAGTTCAACATACCTGTAACCTATAAACCTACTGTGATCTATAAACAGTTGAACGTAACGAAGTGCAAAGAAGTGAAGTTCAACACACCTGTAACCTATGAACCTACTGTAATCTATAAACAGTTGAACGTAACGAAGTGCAACGAAGTGGAGTTCAACACACCTGTAACCTATAAACCTCCTGTGATCTATAAACAGTTGAACGTAACGAAGTGCAACGAAGTGAAGTTCAACACACCTGTAACCTATAAACCTACTCTAATCTATAAACAGTTGAACGTAACGAAGTGCAACGAAGTGAAGTTCAACACACCTGTAACCTATGAACCTACTGTAATCTATAAACAGTTGAACGTAACGAAGTGCAACGAAGTGAAGTTCAACACACCTGTAACCTATAAACCTACTGTAATCTATAAACAGTTGAACGTAACGAAGTGCAGCGAAGTGAAGTTCAACACACCTGTAACCTATAAACCTAATGTAATCTATAAACAGTTGAACGTAACAAAGTGCAACGAAGTGAAGTTCAACACACCTGTAACCTATAAACCTACTGTGATCTATAAACAGTTGAACGTAACGAAGTGCAACGAAGTGAAGTTCAACACACCTGTAACCTATAAACCTACTCTAATCTATAAACAGTTGAACGTAACGAAGCGCAACGAAGTGGAGTTCAACACACCTGTAACCTATGAACCTACTGTAATCTATAAACAGTTGAACGTAACGAAGTGCAACGAAGTGAAGTTCAACACACCTGTAACCTATAAACCTACTGTAATCTATAAACAGTTGAACGTAACGAAGTGCAACGAAGTGAAGTTCAACACACCTGTAACCTATAAACCTCCTGTGATCTATAAACAGTTGAACGTAACGAAGTGCAACGAAGTGAAGTTCAACACACCTGTAACCTATAAACCTACTCTAATCTATAAACAGTTGAACGTAACGAAGCGCAACGAAGTGGAGTTCAACACACCTGTAACCTATGAACCTACTGTAATCTATAAACAGTTGAACGTAACGAAGTGCAACGAAGTGAAGTTCAACACACCTGTAACCTATAAACCTACTCTAATCTATAAACAGTTGAACGTAACGAAGCGCAACGAAGTGGAGTTCAACACACCTGTAACCTATGAACCTACTGTAATCTATAAACAGTTGAACGTAACGAAGTGCAACGAAGTGAAGTTCAACACACCTGTAACCTATAAACCTACTGTAATCTATAAACAGTTGAACGTAACGAAGTGCAACGAAGTGAAGTTCAACACACCTGTAACCTATAAACCTCCTGTGATCTATAAACAGTTGAACGTAACGAAGTGCAACGAAGTGAAGTTCAACACACCTGTAACCTATAAACCCCCTATAATCTTTATTTCTCTATTTCATTAGAATAAGACTAAAAAGTAGAAAATAAAATACTTTATAAAAAAAAACTTTTTAAAAAACTACGTTTTTCGCGTAGACTAAAAAGTAGAAAATAACTTTTACTTTTATTACGTTTTTAAGTTGTTGAGTTATACGATAAGATCAAAGTGCACTTATTCAAAACTTTGTGAACAATATTGACTAGGATATAAAAATTTATTAAATATAATCTGAAAATTTAAAACCAAATTCTTTACAACCAAGAATAAAAGTTATTTTCTACTTTTTAGTCTACGCGAAAAACGTAGTTTTTTAAAAAGTTTTTTTTTATAAAGTATTTTTTATGGTTTATTTGTTGATTTTTCTTAATATTGACACTTATAAGGTCAATTAAAATTCGACCTTAACCGTTTTCAAATTTATGGCATGTTAATCAAATTGGAAAAAAATTTGAAATCAAATTGGAAAAACGATTTCTAGCGTGAACTAGATATTTATGGACCTGAAAGAATTTTATTAGTTTTTGGACGAATTAGAACAAAACAAAACAATTAAGAAAAACCAAGCAGATGGTCAGCCTAGCCATTACCCATCTTATCCGATGTTCCCTTCTTAAGTACGTTCCTAAAAACTTCAGCATGTAGTTTAGAAAAAAACCATTAAACAATAATTAAAAAATCAATTCCTGCAACATTCAATAAAATGTAATAGCCTCGCCTATCCCCATCCTTCCTCATTCAACATAAAAATTGAAAACATCCGATAAATTGCATTTAATTTGTAATTTCCTTCATTTCGTTCTCCCATAAAAACTCATGCTCAGCAAAGCAAAAGTTCTTAGTTTTCTGTAAACTCACGTATAGCAATAAATTCTCATGTTATGCTCATTTCTCACATTTCCACAAACTCTTTTTTTCATATATATATGGGCTAACTACCATAAACTGTTTTTCCTTTCAATTAGCTTATGGAATTTCTGTTGCAATAAATTGTTATGGCACCAAATAAATGCTTGTATTACCAATGAAAATTGCTCTCTTGTGTTGTTTATAATTCCCTGAATCAATAGTTGAATGTGAGACAGAACAAACTTAATTTATGAGAATGAAAAAAATATTATTTCTTATACTTTGTCTTTTTTTTGGATATGTCCTTTTCGGGATTTTTTGTAAGTGATGTCGAATAGTTGGAGGCAGCTCCTAGAGTCCTTTGGTTTGGTTTTTACAGCTTACTAGCTTTACAGCTTACTGGTTTTGCATATCTATAGGAGATATGCCTCAGCATAAGGCTCGCGTTGAAACCGTTTTTATGTGTATGGCGGAAAGCTGAAGTGAGATAAGTCCCTCAGTGGTCGAGTGGCAGGGATCTCTTATCGAGTGGTCAGACATCGCCTCTTTTGAGGTCATGGGTTCGATTCCCATCCCCCAAGAAAAGAAGAAATGGTGTGCTTTTACATATCCACACAAAAAGAAGATATGTACATAAGCTTATGGTAAATTCATAAGCATGACAAAAAGGAATTTCGCTTAGTCTCTTAAGGGAGTAAATGTAAACGATGATGATGTTTATGTCAGTTCTAATTGTGCCGTAAGGAAAGACTTTCATTGACATGCAGTAATTATGTTCTTTTCATGCCGAAATATGAAATTTCCTAAGGATGGATATGACCAAGCATAAAATGTTTAACTTTCAAGATATGCTTAACAATGAGGACATTTTAGTTGATGGGGAAATTCCTTCACAAAACTTATTCATTTCTTCTTCACGATTGTTTTGTATATGAAGGTTGTTTACAGTTGTTTACTGCATTAAATATACGAAAACAAACGGAAATGTGCCTCTTCAGAGCTGTCAGCGTAGAATATTAAAAATTCATATATTGCAGCATTGGATAGTCTGGCTTTAAGACAGGCAGAGCATGAGGGGATGTTTTTAATCATTGTAATTGAATTTAAGGATCATAACTGCTACAGAAGCCTTTCTGAAGACGATTTATTTAATATAATATCCCAGGTGAATCATTGTATCCTACTTAAAGTGAATCTCTGATGTGCTGTATCGATCTGAACCTGCATTAGACATGTATCGAAGAAATCAGTTCCTGTTTAAGTTTCTCAATCATAAAATCAATAAAAAGATCCCTTTCTTCCTGTAAACACATCCCTGAATAGAGCACATACTTCAAAAACCGACGCTGAACTATCTTACATGCTATCACAGCCAGTGGGCGTAAATGAATTTCAAATGCAACGCCTTGAACTTATGCAATGAAAATTTATGTGAAAATTCTACATGCGATCTCTTTCAGCACTTAAGTAATATCAAATATGTTGTATGTTACATGATATGGACAGAAGTAAATGCTTTCCTGCAGATATAAATTTAATTGTCTGTGGCAGGCTTTCGAATCAATTAGCAAACATTTTTGTCCTTACTAATTTAGATACCTACTGCTGAAATCTAATTTCTTATTCCTTAATGAGACTTTTTTTGCTCAGGCTTCATTATTATTACTAGTTTATGAAGTCACGTATTTTTCTTTCAGTTAGTTAAACTACAGATGTCCTTAATTAAATAATTTCCTACCTCGAATTAGCTAATTTTATTCAAATTTATCTTTTTTATAGATTCCGAAGGGGCTTTAAACAATTTTTCCGATGGTGTCCATTCATCCACGTCGGTCCGGAAGTGTTAACAAGGAGAGAAGTTGTATCGAGGTATTCTTGTTCTGGTTCCCCCGATCACCATCGAATTGTAAGAAATGGTAAAAGTACGAAAAGCCTATCATTCACCTTTTCAAGAAAAAAATTTGACACAGCAAGAATTGTATCGCTGTTTTTTTCTTTCTATCTTCTCTTCCCGTCTTCCTGTATTCTTCTTTTTTAATGCTTTAATATTTGAAATCAAAATTTAGATACGGAAAGGTCCTTTTTATATTCATGCACTGGCTCACCAAAAGGTCACCGTAAATCACATGGTAAGTTTAATTTTAAATTGTTGTATCATTATTTATGGGACTGTTCACAAATGACGTCTTTAAAATCCCCCTTTTCTTCAGATATTTATGAGAAAACCGAATTATCCAAAAATAAAATTCTTTCTCATCTTTAAATTTTAGACGTCATTATTGAATGATCCCCAAGACTTTTCACGATAGCTTTCAATATTTATTGAGCATCTTTCCAATGACATTTTCTTGTGTCCTTTGGTAAAATTCAAGTCTGAAGAACTTGACGACGATTTTATGTAGGTGAGGTTTATGAGTATTTTCAAGATCAAAGTCACTTTGTATAGAAACGTAGAAAGTTTTTACGTTACTACGTCTTTTGACCGTGACTTCTTTGAAATCGTATCAAATTTCTATGAGTTATTTATCTTTTGAGAAATAATATTGCTTTCATAGAATTCGAAGTTCTTTGATGTCAGTAATAATAATTTGTAAAGGATCTCCTTGAATGCATATTGAGTATGTCCCACTTAGTAGATTTTATTGAGTAAGGTGTGGGATTGAGTAGGGTGACTATGGTGTTTTTTTTTGAGTTTTTGAATTTTTTTTAAATCAACTGCTGTCTATTGGCTGAGAAGATATGGCTTCGACCAACAAAAAAAGACAACCTGACTTGAAAAAAGCCATAAGGTAGTTGCGAATGAAAACCAGCTCAATCTAAATACTTGACTATAAATCCAAGCGAAATTGTCCTGACAAGAATTTTCACAAATTGATAAAAAATTCAGATTCATAACTTTATTAATCATCATGTAAATTTTTATCGTGTAAATAGAATATTTTTCAAAGAATATGAAAAGAGAATTTTTCCTTTTTAATGCACCATTCAAAGAACGTACATGTCATGCTCTGATAAATAGAAGATATAATTTTTATTCATAAAAAACTGAATGAAAGATGAAAAACTGTTATAAGTATTAATACGTAGAATAAAATGTAAAAAATTGACAAGCTTCAATTTATTCTTACTTTTTCATTTCTTTTGTTTATTAAGCACCAGGCGCGTCGCCCTACTTCTACAAAAATTTCTTCATTTTCGCTAGGTTCTATGAAAAAATCCAAAAATAAGCCCCAATTTCCCTCCAAAAAATTCTCCAGTTATGCACAAGTATCGCTGATAAATTGAAAACATGAATGCTTACAATGTGCTCATTAGATCAGTGTTGATACAAAGTTGTCCTTGCACAGATTTTGCCTTTGATCTAGTAAAGTCATGCCTTTGCAAAGTCGCAACAAAGTCAAAGCCAAAACAATTGCTTTGGACAAAGGCTTGTGTCTTCGTTTTCAAATTGGCTACGCTTAGGTAGACCTTTTTATATTCAAGTGCTAGGTATCAACACTGCATTAGACGTTGAAAGTATAATGAAAACAGTTTTAATGTTTATTCTCAGAAAATAAAGTGTGTGTAGCTTTATTTAAAGGAGCAAGATGCTGAATTAAAGATTAGAATGTGAATTCGTAATTTTAAAAATTTGTTAAAATAAATTGTGCAGTTAAAATCACAATTAAGTTTTAAACCATAAAGATCAAAACTAAATTGTTCAAAATTTTAATTTAAACAATTTTTGAACTTTCTCTCAATTTGAATTGGACCTGTTAATTTTTTTCTGGCCACGTCTTTGATTAACTCGCACTTATTTTTTGACGCTCAATAATAAAACCATCCGTAAAATATTAACATATATAAACTATAACTCAACAGCGTCAGACATCTAAATTACACCAATAAATTCCAAATTGCTAAAAGTTTTTCAAAAAAGTTTTAAAATTAGCAATTCTTCGTAATATTTCTTATCAAAAACACTTTCTTTCCACAAGATTAGAGTCGATTTAAAAAGATTGAATAAAAAACTCAAAAGTTTTAATCTGCAAATAAATTTAATTCTCACAAAAAAACTTTATTTTCTTCAAGACAGACAAACATCCCATGCATAGACTTGTTATAAAAAAATCAATATACCTTCAACATTCAATGGAAGCTTCGAGTTTCCACGGTTGACGAACTTTGAAAAATCGGAAATGAAACCTTATTTATTTTTATTTTTGTTAAGCTCTATTTTATCATGTTTTTGTGGTCCAATAACATCATGCAGCAGGAAAGAAGACGAAAAAAATCTTTTACTTCCTTTTTTGAAATTTGTTAAAGCTTAAAGAAGAGAAAAACATATTTTATGAATAAATAAAGTTGGATTTAAGGCTTTGTTGTTGATAAAAGAAAAAATTATTTTCTGCTTTTGAACAAGAAAACTTGGCGATTAAAAATGTAAAAAAATTTCAAATGTAAAGTTTATGGATGCATAAAAAATGTTAATTCAAGAGCGGAACTTTTTTATCATAAAGAAGAAGATGCGGGAACAGAATGGAAGTGGGAAGTTGAATGATTCTAAATTTCACATTTTACGAGCAAGGACAAAAGATTTTATTTTAAATAAATAAAAGCAAAAAATGCCAAAATAAAAATTTCAAAAATAATCCTTTTAAAAGTTCAAAAGCTTATATTATTCGGATTAGAAATATAAATTAATTTTTATTCTAGAAAATCTTATCAAAATTTCAAGGTATCCTCCAGTAATGTATAAAATGATTTTTACAGGTTTGAGGATATTCTCATATTTCTGATATTAAGAGGATTTTACAAAGTAATAAATAATCCTATTTTTATTTTTATACTGAGTATTGATACATTTTTATGGCAAATAAAATTCTAGAAAATACTCCTATTAAGTATCAATATGAGGATATAAATATTAAGATTCAATTTATGCTCTTTTGAGTTGCTCTTTTCACATATGATACTTTAAGTGAATTCACTTGAAATTGACATACTGTTGCTAGCTGCAGAACTCTCAATAGGAATTATTGAACTTTAAATTCTTGACATTTATTAGCTTTTTAATGGATTAAAGGTTAAGTAAGGTTTTTATGCAATGTGAAATAGTTTAAATACTTTTAACATGGCTTTTCCTTGCGAGTAATAAATAAATAATAATAATTAATATTCAATTCAGAAGAACTTCTCTGATGAACCCTTTTATATCCTCCTCCTTACCCTTCATCACCCCCCCCCCCCCCCTCCGTTAGAATTAAATAATAATTGAATCCAAAAATAAAGTAATAATGACTTGCCATTAATAAGTTGAGGTTTTTAAAGAACTCCTGAACTCCTTTCCTCTTAAGATGGGACATGACCAAAATTTGGCAACGCCGCTGATCAAATTAGCTGATTTGATTTGAGCGATTCAAATTAGCAAAGAATCCTTTGTACCATATCCATTAGACCTTCAGTTTTTATTAAAATCCAAACCACTTGCAAGCTTTGCACATTGCAAAGACACGAGTAAGCCTAAAAATTCGTGTGCGCAAGATGCTGTAATGAAATCATCCAGATGCTAGTATATCCTAGTATACCTAGTAAAGGAGACACGTTATATGCTCAAGAACTCAAAGCTAAGATTGAACCCACAATCATTGGGACGTAAAGCCAACACTCTCCCACTTAGACCACTGATTCCATTTCACCGCTTTTGTCAGCTATAGAATTTCAAGATCCTTAATAAATGCCATAAAGTTTAAAAAGTCCTGCATTCTAATGATACCAATGCTATAAGTCAGTATTATTAAAAATATGATCCTCGACACTCTACTGCGTTTAAAAACCTCTTTTCTAACTCAAACGCATGTTTGCATCTAGAACCCCGATTGTAAAATTTTCGATAAATTGATTTTTCCCATCTTCCTGCTCAAAATTGGGTCAATAAGAAAATGTTAAGACAAATAAAAATAATAATCGACTTCAATTGAAAAAAATTCTTTTTTGCCATCGCTTTACAGGAAACAACTTTTCTTTCCTACTCTTCTGGATGAATAAAAGAAGAAAAAAAATCTCAGAAATAATTTTTTTCATTCTTTTTCAATTTTCAATCAGAACCGGAAAGATGCTCAGTGAAGCAATAAATGAGAAAATTGAAAGCTATCATCAATGCATGAAGCTCATAATTACAAATTTTATCATCATTTCCTTTCTTTTCTTTTTCATCACAATCTAGGTTCCGTTCGAATGCCATTGCAAGTGTCAAAGTGTAATCACAACACAAATTCCACTTATTTCTCGATGAATTCATTTAATAATAACAACAACAATACAAATATGACGATACAAGGTGGCAACGACGAGACGAATGTAACGACATCCGATAATCTCTTGCTAGCATCAACAACAAATAGTAGTCAACGATGGGCGACAACAAGAAACTTAAATGGTAATGGTCAACGCACATCATTATCTTGACATGTCAACAGGGGAAATTTAAGTCTTAATCTGAATGACAACATTAAAGTCACAAATCAGAATGACAGTGATGACCTGACTCCTGTCAACACAAACAATGGCCAAAGTCCTTTTGACTATCAAACGAGATATCGTAAAACGTGGATTTGAATCAAATTATTTATTTGTAAATTTTGCGAATGGATAAAAATATTTTATTGCTTTTAACTTTTTAATAAGAAAAAATTAAGTAAAGTTTATAAAAAAATGGCTTATATACAGACACACAGAAGTACTGAAGACGAGAGCATCAAAAATGGTGATAAAATGAAACTTTTAATGAACTATATAAAAAAAAAGAAATATCCATTAATAGTTATTTGTTGGATGAAATGTCTTGGGAAATTGAGCATTAAATTCTTAGGTGTTGCAATACTTAAAAATAATTATCTGCTCGAAACTTTCTCCTTCTTTATCTTCAAATAAACACATAAAAATGATTGCTTTATTGAGATGAGTACAAGAATATATAAAAGTTTAAAGTGTAATTAAATAAAGTAAATTAGAATTCGATTTTCTGAAACATTTTATCCATGAAAATGACTTTAAAAGTAACTGAGAAAGTAAATATATAAAGATGGTGGGGATGGCTCATTAGATGGGATAGTTTTGGAACTTATTTGAAGGATTTTATATTTAAATAATAAATTAGATTTTTTAAATTATTTCAAATCACAAGTCTAAAATATAATCTAGAGACTGGTTTTCTCGGTTGTATATTAGTCATACTCTTTAACATGGATATGAGATACTTGAGAATCCAGTCTGTTTCGCTTAACTATACTTTCAAAAGAAGAATAAAGCAGATCTGAGTATTTACACAAAAAGCACACAGTCGGTTAATCGAATAAAAATCATGCATCATGCTGGTGCTGGATCCAATTTGAGTGCAGCTTCTTGCCAGTGTCACGCATTCTTGATGCTGGATTTCTATTTGATTAACCGACTGTGTGCTTTTCGGGTTTGTTCACAAAAAATTCTGAACTATGCGTCTGGGGCAAATTTCTATAGCACTGCCTGAAATGGAATGATATTCGTTGTATTACTAGAACCTTTAAAATAGGTTTTGTTTATATCAAGGCTTGGAAACTCAGGTTAATCCTAAAAAATCCAAAAACTCTCTTAGCCAATAAACATGGAAATGTAAAATTCCTTTTAAATCTCTGATGCATTTGCTGAATAATTTTGGGATTTAAAAGTAATTTCACATTTTCATGTTTATTGGCTCAGGGATTTTTTTTTAGAATTTTTGAATTTTTCAGGATTAATCCTGAGTTTCCGCGACTTGGTTTATATTTTATTCAAAAAAGCTAATCTCAATTTAATCACAAAAAGACTTTGGCACTCAACACTGAATTAAAAAGAATTTGAAAATCAGCAAAATTTTAATAAATATTTCAAAACTTTTATTTACTCTTATCTAAAATTAGGTTCTTACCAATCAGAAGAAAAAGTATGACCAGTTTAAATCCACTCCAAACTAACCATCCCAATTTTGCCTACTTAACTGAATAATGCTGTGTAAATTTTGAAATTAACCTTAATTTTGCTATCAAAAAGTAGAGAAAAAAAATCCTCAAATTGTACAAAGTTTATTCCACTTAGTGAGCAACTCCATCAAAAATGAAGCTGTATGTATAAAGTAAAATTATCTGTTAAGTGTTAAATAAAATGTAAAAAAAACAAGTATATAAAGAGAGGAACTTTCTTCAAGTTAAATTATTTTTATTAGCACAAATTGTAAAGAAAAAAGAGGTGAAAGTATTATAAAAATTCTCGGTTGCTTCCATCCAGCACTATTCAATCGCTTGAATGTAAGAGGAAAAGTTTTTTCTGCATAATGATGCTGAACTATAACTTTACTTCTATCATCTTACAATATGGCAAAAAAATTAAAAAGGAAAATTTTCTTTTCTTTTCAATTACATTGGTGCCTTTTCCTGGCTGAATAAAGGAAATGAGAATGTCAACAAATTGTATTACAAAGTGGGCGAGTGATACCAATTGTTGAGCTCTCAGAATGAAAAACTTTTTTTTTTTTTTTGCACAGTTGTGAAAGGGGAAAAATTATTTTTTTTTTAGCTGCTCAAAGGAAAGCTTTTGCTTATTCCAAGTATTATAGTAATTAATTATCATTAGTAATGTTTTATCTTATTATTGAAATAAAAGCTATTGTTTTGGGTAATTATTCTGAAAATTTTTAAAGGAGCTATTGTGTTTACAATTTTATATCTAATTATATACAAAAATACCTGCAAGCGTAAATACAGAATCTCAATAAAATTAATTATTTAATCTCCAGCTAGTAAAATCCATTAAATTAATGTAGGTCAAATTTTTCATTAGAAACTTATTAATTTAGGTTTAGGGAGGTTAAGAGTTGTTCACAAGTGATGTCCAATTTTAAACAAATAATTTTAACTTGATTGACATAATTTCTGACTGACTGTTTCAGACTTATTCAGATTAGACCAGTGTTTCTCAAACTTTTTGGCGAATGGCACATTTTTTACTTAAAGTTTTTCGAGGCACATCTGAATTTTAAGTGGCCCGCGGCACATAGTTTGAGAACCACTGTCGTAGACACCAAACGTGTCCTAACGTAGTGTGCCTGGTTTTGGCATTTCCCCATTAGGTACCCCATCTTTTTTCTAGAATAGCTCTGTAGAGAGCTCCTCTTCATACCAACATACATCCCAACTCTAAGCAGAAATTAAATTATCTTAGAACATGATTCTGAAAATTCAAAAATTTTCATTGAAGCTTAATTGCATACAGGAGTGCTAGAGAATTATGTACTTCGAGAGTTATGATAGTGATAAATTATACACCTTTAAAAAAACATTAGGCATAAAACGGTCGACTGTATAATTTATGAAAGCGATTTAATAGCTAGATAAATTTTATTCAGTGCTACTAATTTATATAGAACATTAGAGAACGTTTATAATCGTTACATGTTGAGGTACTGGCAGGTGCAGAGCTCGGAGTCTTCTTAAATGCTACCTTAGATATGTATCATAGTGTTGAGTGTTATTAAATCAAGGGTACGTAACAGGAATATTGGATTTTGATAAATTTTGATCATCACAATGGGGTGTGACATATAAACTAAACCAGAATAGACCAAACTCTATGAACATTCAAACTACATGACTCAAAATATCTTACAATTGCACAAGAAGTCTAAATTGGAAGAGAAGGAAGTTAAACTTTGCATTTGCTGGAATTAATTTGCAATCTCTTTAAAGTTTTCAACATTTTTAAAAATCCACATAAAAATCCTCCAACTTCACAGTCACGAGCTTTATAAATCTTCGAAAAAGCCTCATTCATTCCATTTCAATTTTCAATTGTGCAGCACATCATTATCATTTTATTCAAGATTCTCAAATAACCTTGAATATTCTTTAATGCAACCAAATATTTTTTTATCTAAACCAGACAATTTTTTTCATTGCCTCAAGCCGCACATTCAAAATAAAAATCTGTCTGCAAATCTTTCGATTTTTTGTAACATTTGGATTTCAATAAAAAGCAATTTATGTGTGTGACATGAATGAATACAGAAATGTTTGCAAAGATATCAAGAAAATCTCAGTGTTCTTGACCTTTTGAAATGCCAATCGATCTTGTTAAATTCGATGATTTTTGTGGAGGTTTAAAGGTTTCTGCGAAGTGTTTTTGTGCTCAATCTTCCATTTGTATTAAAAATAAATTGATATTTTTTTTTGAAAATGTCACACAGTTGAGAGTCAGATGCTATAGAAACTCTTACTTTAAGCTTTCTAGGCTTCTTAAATTCTTTTCAAGGGTGCTGGATATAAATTAAATTTTTATGAATGTCAACCAGCTGGGTGCTTCCTAATAAAGACGTAATCAAGGTAACATATCAGCTTACACGATCGTCACACATGCAAAAGTTTGCCACCCAGTCGGGTTGATACTATAATTAAAACCAAGCAGCAGCCGCTTGGAAGCAATTTTCAACTGGATGCAAAGTGGTTGACACGTGAATGCCATTGCCAATTGGCTGCTGCTTGGTTCTAATTATACTATCAACTTGGTTGAGGGTCGCAAACATTTCAATGAATTTCAATGTGTGCCGATCGGGTATTACTAGTGTAGTGACTTAATGACGAATTTCATACTTGAACAATTCTAAGCTCTTAAATTAATACAAACCAGAAACCAAGATTTTTACAGAATTTCTGGGCTTTAAACTTTAAATTTTAATCAAACGAAAATTCTTTTCCTTTCCAACATACATGCAAATATGTTATTAGTTTTGAAATTAGTTTTGTTGTATAAAGCATATTCAAAATTGTTATTAAAAATGTTGCACAAAAATTTAAAAAACTTTATGAATGAAAATTGTTTCCTTTTTTGTGCTTTGAGAATTCAGTTTTTGTTGGCTGTACCTTTTGTTATGAATGCAATGTTTAAATTTTATTTAGAGAACGAAGAAAAGGAATAAATGGGATCATTTGAATGTTTTGTAACTTTTAGAAATTAGACTTTCTGATAATTTTTTGAATTGTTCATTGATTTTATAATATAGGTTTTGATGTCAGAATTAGAAAGTTGAGATATCTTTGCAAAGCTCATTTCTTGGCATCTTATCAAGCTTCAGTGGCGTTACTAGGATGAATGAAGTGTTGAATTTGTTCAAAACTTTAAGATTTTAAGCATATGTTACTGTTAGAGTCAATCATTGTATTAAAATCATCGTCATAATCCTTTCGACATGAAACAATGTAAAATCACCAATAAATCTTCTTCTTTTGTCAATTTAACACCCTTCTTCGAATCCAAAAATTAACTTAAGTCACAAACTTCATTTTTAAAAATATTTTACTGCTTAAAAATACAGACATCACTTGTCAACATCCCTTTAAAGCATGAAGAATCAAAATTAAAATTTACATCCATGTACATATAAAAGTACGTTTGCAACATAACTCAAATTATTACAATCTTTATGTAGCGCCAAGTTTAAACAACAAAAAAAAATATATTTTCCCCTTTCTAGCGACGTCTAGATGATGATTAAAGAACCGAAATGAATTTTTATCGCTGTAAATTATTTAAGGTATAATTTTTAAGTAAATGAAATTTTAATTTGAGTATGAAATTTACTCTAGCATTAAAATAATAAAATAATGTAAAAGAGCTGATATTTTTCTATCGTTTACTCTCTGCATACAATTCCCATAATTTTACACGAATATTATTTTCCATTTATGTTATGTGAAAATCAACATTAAAGGTCTTAAATAAATTTATGTTAAATATGAAGAAGAAAATTTCTGTTTTTTTTCTCACTTTTTTCTTAACACTTTTATCGCTTAATTTACAGCTCGTTGCATTTGCTGAATGTGTTGAATCGTTTTTTCATCATGAAATTATTTTTGCGTGT